AAATGGAGAATCCACCACGTCCTTTGTCGGCTTCTTGCAGAACTTAATGGGGCTGGGCTGTAAAACTGTGAGCCTGGTTTCTAATGCTCGCTTGTCTGCCTCAGTTTGCCTCCAATGCTTCTTATGCTGGTTTTCACATACAGACTAAATAGCCCTTTAGGAATCCATATTTGTTCTTAATGAAGGTTAACTCACCTCTCGCTGTAAGGCTTGTGAACTCCAGAACTTTATACATAGGCTTGATATAATATTCTATACAGGCAGTCCCCGGGGTACGTACAAGATAGGGACTGTAGGTTTGTTCTTAAGTTGAATTTGTATGTAAGTCGGAACTGGTACATATTGTAGGGGAAACTCTAGCCAAACATTTCTCCAGAGCTCAGTTTTATTCTCCCACACCTCACTTTCCTCAGTCCTTTATTCTCAAGCTGAGGTGTCTGCTGAGAAAAGCCGCTCCGCGTCTCCCTGGTCTGCTGGGGGGAAGTAGCTAGTGCGGGGTTACCTCACCCTGTTTGTAAGTAGGGATCCGATGTAAGTCGGATCCATGTAACCCGGGGACTGCCTGTATATAACATTTGTATATACAGAAAAACTTCAGTGGACAATATTGGTGTTCATTTGTCCATGTTCCACTGCACTCTACTCCCATTTTTATCTATTTAAATTTTCAGAGTTGTGAACAATTATGTGTTTAAATATTTTTTTTCATGATTTTAAATGTTCATAATTTCAGCAATTTTTTTTTTGAAGGGGGGATCAGATGATAGTAAATGTTGAAACTCAAAAAAGTTATGAATGCTAAAAAAACAAAATAGAAGCTCACAAGCCAACATACACAAAGTGAATATTCTTAAACAAACCCCTAATAAGTTCTCAAGCGACGTCTTCCTCACTGTGCCCGTCTGTGCGGAGAAAGACACTGACCGGCAAAGGTCTGAGCCTGCTAAGCCCCTGTACCCAGTATCCTACTACCAGGCTCAGCAAGGCCGACTCCCCTGCTCACACATCCAAGGGTCTCGTTAGCAAGGCTCAGATTTTGTCACAACTTATTTTGAGAGACGGTCTCAGACAGGCCACGGGCCGTGAGAAAAGCGAACGGAACCCGCGAAGCCTGTGATCTTCTCTGTGACTTTCACTAAAATATGGACAAAATGGGGAGTGAGGGCTCTGGGGTCCCTGCCATGGCTGGTGGCTGGGAGCTGCCTGTGGGACTTCCCTACCAATCCTCAGACCTTCGCCCACAGCAGCTGGGAGCTCGGATCCCCCCCGCCCTGCCCGCTGTGGGTTGGAGCTCCAGGGTTGGTGGCTAGGAGCTGTGGAGGCCCTGCCGCCTGGCCTTGAAAGCTCTGGGGTCCCTGCTGGCTGACAGCCCCAGCCCCACGGTCTGGATCTGAAGCAGAACAGGCCACGTAGGTCTCTGCCGGCCACAGGGACTCCAGGACACGCTCAAAGCCTCCACTTGTCCCTACAGAACAAACAGCAGAAAAATCTTCCCCATTATTCCTGGGCCGGAAGGCTGGAGCCTGCGGGCCTGGCATGGAGCCTTAGCCCAGCAGGGCCGTGGCTGTGTCTTTAAGAGACGCCTCCAACCTCTTCCCATGATAGCGAGTGAGATAACTGCCCCTTTGCACAGCCTGCCTGTGCCACTGCACTTTTGCTTTCCCTCTCGCCCGGGCTGCAGGCGGCAGGCACAGAAATCCCTTTGGAAGGGATGGAAATGGCGCGTGAAAAGGGCGAGGAAAAGCCGTGAGACCGGAGAACTCTGCCGCTGGTCTGTAGCCAGGGGCCTGGCTGTGCCGGGGACGCACTGAAATAATGACTTGGAGTGTCAGTCGCTGCAGCAGAACCAGGGCAGTTTGATCCCACCCTGCAGACGGGGCCGGTTCTCCGAAGGATCCATCAGGTGGGTTCATTTTGCTGCACAAAGCCCCCTCTAGCCAGCGGCTCCCAACCTTTTCCAGATGGGGACCCCTCTTAACTATTCAGGAAGACTTGGTGACCCAGGGCAATTCAAATATGGGGGAGGAGGAGGGGCAGAGCCACCTGGGGCGTTCTTGGCCACCCTTTTGAAATGTAACGGCGACCCCTATGTGGGTCCTGACCCATAGGCTGGGAAACCCTGTTCTGTCCCCTCACATACGCTGCGTGTGGCTTCATCAGATGATTGAACCAAAGGTTCGATAATCCCCTGAGACTTGTTTTACTCTTTCTGTGACCCCCACGTCCCAGGGACACTGAAAATGCTTTATACGCCGGTGCGGTTCCCATCGCTTTCCTAGCCACGGACATCGGGAGTTGGGACTCAGTTGCATTTCCATGAAATGCAACATTCAAAGTGATTGTGTTATGCAGAAGCAGGGAAATGCACTGAAGTTGCATGTCAGGCCTTCTTCTGCGTGGCCAGAAATATATCCCGCTCAGAACTGTCTGTATTGTCTGAAATCACCGTGACTGTTACATTCAACACATTTTTGTTGTTGTTGTTTTCTCTCTCCTCTCCCATCCTCTGGATCGTCTCAGGGTGAGATGAAAATTCTTTCCATCTATGAGAGCTCCAGAGCGAGATCCTGTCTAGCTCATTTCATCATTTTCTTCCTCACATGTTACGTGCACAGGCTGGAATCAGGTAGGAATGTCCATGGCTGCTTCTGCTTCTTACAGGATTTGTTTATTTGCATTGATCTATTCAATCTCCCTGAGTCACTATTTGACACAAACCAGAACAAAAAACAGCACCAACTGCTCAGTGTGTCAATCCAGCCCAAACAAACAGTCACTGTTAGGAGTGGGGTAAAACCTGGTTACAGATTGAATTTCAGATCTCAGTCACACTGCTGTGGGAATGCAAGATTTCCTTTAGACCAGCTATAAGTGTGACCCTTCTGCCAGGGAGCGCCAGCAGCAGCCAGGGCCAGGTTCAATGTCTAGAGGCTCCTCTCCATCCTCCAACACAGAACTGGCTCCAGCTTCCCCCCGTAACCTGGGAAATTCATGTACAACTCCTGAATGCCTCTGGGAGCAATGCTCCCCAAGTCCCACGCACTGTGTCTGAGTGTGGAAAAGACACTTTCCATAAAAGGGCGGGAAGTGACGTGGGGTTAGTTTGGGAAAACACTACAGACAAGTTCTTAAATACAAACCACGAGTGACAGCCCCACCCCAAGAAGGCCGGGCGATGCGCCATTCCCCTCAGGGTCTTAAGTCCAGCAAGACAAACTTCCTTTTCACATACCCCTCCCCATGCTTGCCGACGGGGCAGGCTGGGGCTGCATGCCTCCTGCCATGGGGTGGCCTGCTCCTACAGTGGGGGTGGGAGGGTTGGGTTCCGTTGGAGCCCAGGGAGGGGGGGTCAGGTTCTCCTGCCCTAGGTTCCCCACCTCCATGTCTGCTCCCTAGTCACAGTTGCGGCCCTTGGCCAGAACAGCTCCAAAATGCTGAGGGGCAACCACAGGGTTCACCACCTATCTGGGGGAGGGGGCAGTAAAGAGGCAGGTTACTTGCACTCTGGTCACTCATCACCTCTCTGCTGCCAGCCTGCTGCAACTCACAGCGCCTCTCATCGCCCCCTCTGGTTGTACCTGGCAGCAGGGTCAGGGTCACTGTGGCAGCACAATAGGAGGTGCCTGGAATGGGACTGAGTCTCACAGTTGCACAGGAGAGAGACGCTCCCCACCCACCCCCACACACAGTCCCCTGCCCAGAGCCGCTCCTCACTTCCACCAATCCTGACTCCTGAATCCCTCCAACACCTCCAGCCCCCAGACTTGAGTCGCTCTTTAAGGCCCCGAGCAACGCTAAGGAAACATGCCAGTGTGAGAGATGCACCTTAGAGCCTTGGGTGACTGACTCATTAACTGTCTATTTAATCCCCTTTTGTTTGTTTGTTTTGTCTTTTCTGCGCCCTGGTGCATTTTGCAGCCCAGTTCACAGTGGTTGGGCCTGGCCACCCTGTCATGGCCATTTTGGGGGGGCACATCGTGTTACCCTGTTACCTGTCCCCCAACATGAGCGCGGAGAACATGGAGGTGAGATGGTTCCGACACCAGTTCACTCCCTTCGTGCACCTGTACCGGCACGGGGAGGAGGAGTTTGGGCAGCAGATGCCCGAGTATGACGGCAGGACGGAGCTTTTGAAAGACGGCATCATGGATGGGAATGTTGACTTGGAAATTATCAATGTCAGGCCCTCCGACGAAGGACAGTACCACTGCTCTGTTCAGGATGGTGACTTTCAGGAAGAAGCTGTACTGGAACTGAAGGTCGCAGGTCAGTAACTCGGGTCTGTCGTCTCTTTTTAGAAAGCTCTTGTACCCAGACCACAAAAGTAGCTAGGCACCTAACTCCACACCTCCGTCCAAAACTTAGGAGCCCGTGGGGTCCTCAAAACAGCCATTAAATTAGTTCATCTTTATGCCAGAGAGAGAAGGGGAAGCTCTGTAATCCTGTGGTTAATAACACCAGAGATGGGATACCCAAGGACTTTCCCATTCTAATTAATCGTTAATTATTTATCCAATATGCCAAGTAATTAAATAGCCACCGAAACAGCAGGACCAGACATGAGTTTTCTCACGTTGCACGGGTGTACCCGATTCCCTGCACCAGGGACAGATTAAGGTCTTTGTAGGCCCTAGGTACGCTCATAATCATAGATCTTTAAATTAGATTCTACAGAAATATCTAAGGCAGAAATGCCGAATGGCCTGCACGCCTAGAGTTAATGTGATACCCGTGTGTTGTTTGGTGACTAACGAGAGCAAACTATTGAGTTGGATCCAGCAGTTTTCTTTTCTTAGTTTCAAGTCAATTATTCATTTTTTTAGGCTTTAATTTTTTTGTAGGCCCCAAACTTTTTGTAGGCCCTAGGCACTGGGCCTATTGTGCTGAATGGATAATCTGGCCCTGCCCTGCACTGCGTTTTCTCTCTCTCTGGCCAATGACTATTTACATATTCACAAACAATCGAACAATCACTGGACCAGAAAGAAAGAGGGGCAGGAATTTTCTAGGTTCTCATCACCTTCGCTGTCTTTGGTCACACTAAGACATTTTCAGTTAATCAGTTCGTATTTCAGGCCCGTAGGCAGGAATTTCTGGGGGGGAGGGGGGGGTGAGCTGTGGGAAGGACTGGTGGCTTCCCTTCCCACCACATGTGGCCCAGTCCCAGCCCCGGCCTCATTCCTGGGTGAGGAAAGGGGAATCAGCCCCAGCCTTCTCTAGGGAAGGGAGACGGGGGTAATTCGCTGCCCCTGCCTTCTCTAGGGCAGCCACAATCAACCCCATGGTGAACCATGAAGGACCTGGGGGAGGGAGGCATTCACACCCATCAACCCTCCCCCCCCCCCCCCGCACTTAGCAGCAGTTGGATCTAACGACTCTTAAGGCAAAGCACTCGGCAAGTAGTGATCAAACACACACAAGTGGGAAGAATACTGGGGGTGTGTCTAGACTACAGGGTTTTGTCGACAAAACTGGACTTTTGTCTATACCTGCGTCCACACTACCGCTGAGTTCTGTCGACAGAAGTCAGCAGTTTTGTCGACGCTGGTAAACCTCATTTTACGAGGCATAACGCCTTCTGTCGACAGAGTTCTGTCGACAGAAGGTGTTATTGCATGTAAACTGTCCTTTGCATCTACACTGTCCTTTGCGTCTACACTACCATGTCGACAAAGCAGCTTGCTTTGTCGACAGAACTGGATGTAGTGTAGACGCTCTTTGTCGACAGCAGCTTTGTCGACAGTATCTGTCGACAAAACTTCTGTCGACAGAAGCCTGTAGTCTAGACGTAACCTGGGTGATCCATCACAGTGGCCTACAACAATGAAGAATGCAACTTCAACCTCCCTTTCTTATACAAACTGCTTCATACCATTTTATTATTTGTACGTATGTTTTAGCCTTCCACGTCCATGTCAGCTCCCCTCTCCTGTCAGCACAGCGCCAGCACGACTTCAAAGAGGCCTCTTCTTGCTTTCTTGCCTTTTTGTCACTTTATCTTTTCTTTTCCAAAACGGGATTGTTCTGTAACTGTTTACCCCTACGCACTAGTGATTCTGCTATAAAATAATATCTGAACACACTGCAAATCCACAGCAGGCTTCTGTGAGGACTAGGATGACTTTGTTCCCATCACGGTTCTCTTCAGTGCACATATCAGTCGATCTGCCGTTGGTCAGGGCTGGGACAGGAGTGAAGGGGGAACATTTCCTCAGCTCAAGTGCATTTAAAGCAGCCAAAAAAACTTAGTTTAGTGCAGCATTTCTCAGATGTGGCCACCAGGGTCTTTTTGTACAGCCACAGCCTTCTGGTCTGTGACAGTTTCATGAAGTCAAGTTTCCTCTATCCATGAACATCAGCAATAAAGTACATTCAATCATTGTATTAGAAATGTGAACACACTTGGTTTATACATCCTGCTGTAGGCTCATTTCATTTAACACTGATTCATTCCAGCTTTAGGCTCTGCACCTCGCATCTCTGTCGAGGGTCACCAGGACGGAGGGATCCGAGTGGTGTGTCAGTCGGCCGGATGGTACCCACAGCCCCAGGTGCTGTGGAGAGATCCCAACGGGCAGCCTTTATCCTCTTCGACTGAAACAAAGTCTGAAAAGGAAGGTGGTTTCTTGGAAATAAAAGATTCTATCGTTATAACGGAAAACTCAAACAAGAATTTGTCCTGTTCTATAAGGAACACGCACATGGACGCAGAAAGGAAATCAGTGACTTTTGATATAGCAGGTCAGTTACTGCTAAAACCCCACTCTTTGTCCTACCAGCAAGAATTAAAAATCAGGTTGCTAAATCATACAAAATCCCAGTGTGCGAACCCCCTCACAACAACTGTATTTCAGATGAAGTGAAGGTGGAGGGCGCAATGTTGGATACAATGTACTCCAGGGATTCCGTAGTGATCCCAGAAAAAAAGCGTTTTAAACCCAGAAAATTCAAGGTTACCATTACATTTACAGGCAATCCAAATATGTTAATGCATGAAAGTGCCCTGCAGGGACACCAGAGAGCAGGGGGAGCTGGGGATGGGGGGGCTTTCCAAACATCTCCGACCCAGCTAAATATGTTACTCCCTTACCCCTGTCTCAGCAACGGTTGGCCCATTCTGACTGACACTTTTCCAAAGTGCTCAGTCTGAGACAGACACCCCACAGGACCCTTCTGCCCAGAGGGTTTGAATTTGTCAAATTAGTGAGCCAATGAAAAGGAGGCGCTGCCAGGGGAAGCACCAAGCAATACCGGGGGGCGGGGACCTACGACTGGTCGCACTGTGATAGTATTTAATGCCCTGTTCAATACTATCAAAAGTGGATGAGCAGAAACTGATTTTACGATTGCTTTCCTCCAGTTTTTATATTGCAGGGAACAATGTTTCCCACGTGTATTTCACACACAGTCTGATGTGAAGCATTTTCCTACAAGGCTGCCTGTGTCCAAGCTAGTGGGGCTTTGTGTTTCAGACTCCTTTTTCCCACGAGCCTCTCCCTGGATGGTGGGCTGGAGCGTGACCCTGGTGATTTTGTTGCCGTTCGTCTGCCTGGCTTGGTTTCTGTTCAGAGTAAGAGGTAAAGCTCAAAGGGGGGAAACACAAAGTAACGGGAATGGGATTATCTCCTCACAAATAGGTTAGATGTTTTACCTGGCTCTCGGCGACACATTCGCCTGTTGCCCAGTCTCCCTTCCCCCACCTCGCTGTGCCCCAAGCTGCTGCCCGCGGCTGCCCAAGTGTCGTGGGAGGACTCCAGGCACTGGCTGGGGAAGCTGGTTGGGCCCCCCCAAGGGTCCCATGTGGCTGCTCACAGAAGCAGCATGTTGGCAGGGCAGTTCCGACCGTCCCTTTGCCTCCTTTGTCGTTTGATCTGCCTGGCTCAGCCCCTTTAGTTTCAGGTGGAAAATCAACCTCATGGGGCTCAGTCCGACCCAAACCCCCAGGGCAGACCAGGCCTGAGTCTCAGCTCCACTGACGTTCAATGGGCTTGGCGCTGGACCCCCCCCCCCCCCCCCCCCCCCCCCAAACAACTTCATTTCCCCTGTGTTCAGATTATTGCAACATGAACGGACGGCTTAGTCCTGCTGCTGTGGGAGCTCTGTGAGGTGCTTCGGGATTCAGACTCACATGAGAGCGAATGTCCAGGCTTGGGGCAGACACACACACAGATAGAGGCAGACAGACAGACAGACAGGTTGCGTTGTGGGTTTTGAAAAGCTTCATCGCAGAGTGAGGATTGCACAGCCTCAGCTATTGAGAAGCAGTTTCGTGCCATCAGAACGGTGCGACTTAAGTTTTCTTTACCCGTCTTGAGATCTGTTTATTTATCTGGTGACAGTGGCGGGGGGAGGAGGGGAGGGCCATCAGGAGAAAATTCCCTTCTCACAACCTGGTATGACATTATTTTAACACAATGTAGAGGGAATGTGAGTATGTGACTCCAGATCTTACAGCTAATTGCTCCTGCTCTCCACTCTGGAGGCAGAAGGCAGCTTTGGCTATAGGCCTTCCAACGTGGTCACAGGAAAACCATATTGTTACATGGCATCCGCCCTTGGCATTCCCTGCGGACCAAGCCTGGGTGTGAACTGTAGCTCCTGTAAGAAAGGTCTGTCCATGTGCTGTTCATAAACTAATCATTAGTACACTTAAATGTAACCAGATTCTGGGACTGATTTTTTTTTTGTCTTCTGGGAACCAACCTGCAAGTCACTGGAGAGCTGCACCAGCTTGGTAGAGGGGCAGCCTGGTCGTTATTTGAGAACTTATAATGAAGAGATTTCTTTAAATCGAGATCAACTGAAAATCTCCAAATAATTGTGTTTGTTTTCTGTTACAGGGAAACATCTCAACACCCTCAGTAAGTTCCCTCCTTCTCCTGGGAGAACCAGTTTTCTGTTATGGAGGATTTTGACACAAATGTGACAATGACAATTGACAACCCTAAGCAAGGCTGCCCATGCTAATTGTGTAACTAGTCACTGCAGTAATAGGGTAGGAAGCCAGCGCTGTGCTAGTGTCTTAGGGCAGCGGTGCGCAACCCGCTGTCCTGGGGGGTCACAGCGCTTTGATACGTACCGGCCGGTATTTTCTTTTCCCAGCTTGAAGATGGGGCCACCGGGGTCAGCATCATGTACAGTCAGTGCCCACAACCTCGGCATGTTGGCACTTCATGAGTCAGAATTTCCAGACTTTTTGCCGGACTCCAGGCTGGAGCGCTGGCCAGGGGGAGACTTTGGGGCTCCTTCTGCCTTTCCTTGTCGAGCTGACACAGCTCACACCTCTCACACAGCTGCGCCAGTGTGAAAATGGGGCCACCGGGGTCAGCATCATGTACAGTCAGTGCCCACAACCTCGGCATGTTGGCACTTCATGAGTCAGAATTTCCAGACTTTTTGCCGGACTCCAGGCTGGAGCGCTGGCCAGGGGGAGACTTTGGGGCTCCTTCTGCCTTTCCTTGTCGAGCTGACACAGCTCACACCTCTCACACAGCTGCGCCAGTGTGAAAAGTGACTTGTACCAGGGTTTATCCTGTGTCCAGTCCTAGGCTGTATTGATGCAAAACAATGCCCAGGAGATCAGCCTCAGTGATCAGTAGCTGGGGGCCTGCAGTCGTTAATTTCACACCAGAGATTTTACAGCCTGGTCTTCTTTCTCTTTATTATTTAGGTAAATGTCGCACGGAGCTCGGTAAGGACCTTTTTGTTGTTTGTTTTATTTCTTTCTCTAGTGCAGTGGTCTCCAACCTTTTTACACCCAAGATCACTTTTTAAATGACAGACCAAGCCAAGATCTACCGCCCCGCCCCTTCCTTGAAGCCCCGCCCTCTCTATTCTCCTCCTCTCCATCACTTGCTACCCCCAATCCTTATACTGCTACTTTAAAAAAAAAATTCCCACCATTCCTCACAGCTACTCACCTGTGCTGTTGCTCAGTGAGTAGCTGCTCCTCAAATGAGGAAATCTAATGTAAATGTACTGCACAGGCGCGCAGTTCAGAGAGGGCTCAAGAGCTACTCTTAGAGCCTCCGAGATCTACCGGTAGATCGCGATCTATTGATTGGTGACCACGGCTCTAGTGCTTTCTTTTCTGACAGTGAAGCTGATTGATTCTACGTTTGTCTTGCTTAATTCTCATCCCCATCTGTTTGTTGACTTTCAGCATGGAGGAGAGCCCTACGTGATGCAGGTAATTACGACAAATGTTTAATCAAAGGGTGATCCTGCTCTGTCACCGTGTAAAAAGGTGAAAAATATAATAAACAGAACAGAATGTTTTCCTGGTGCGAAAAGCTCAGGTGTTGAGGTTCAAAAGAGGAAGAGGCAGGGAACAGCCTATCATGTCCTGGTTACAAATTGCTCCCCTACCTCTGGAGACAATCCTGGGTCTGTTTGGCTGAGTGAATATTCCTCCTTAGGATCCCAGCCCTAGAGTCAGGGAGAGGAACGAGAGCAGGGACCAGACACAAGAGTTCAAATCCAGAATCCCCCTGATCCGTGTTCAGTTTGCGCCTGTTTTCTCTTCTCTCTGTCCACAGAGATCGCCCGTTTCTCTGCTCTCCATCAGATCCCGAATTTCTGCTGGTTTTAACCCTCTCATCCATGTTTTCCTTCATTTCTACCAATGACACCCTCTTGCTCCTGTCTCCACCACTAAATACCTCCTCTTGTAGAATCCCACAGTTCTTTGTCTGCCCCTGATGACTAGCCGTAGACGTTTAATTAGGGGTCTATTGACTCACGTCGTTATCTTCGGATCTCAGACCTGTGGCAGGATGGAGCATAAATCAGTCTGGTGTCAGCAAGAGACGTCCAGGCTCCAGCACTTTAAATACAAGGGAGAAAGGACGCATCAGGGAGAGCTAGTTGGGACCATGTGACTGAAAAGTCTCAGATGGGAAGCTGTGTTAGTCTGTCTGCAAAGACAATGAGGAGTCCTGGGCACCTTTCAGCTAACAGATTTATTAGGGCGTCAGCTTTTGTGGGTAACACCCACTTCATCAGATGGATTGGAGTGCAGTTTAAGCAAGGAGTGTGTGTGTGTGTGTGTGTGTGTGTGTGTGTGTGTGTTGAGAGAGAGACAACAAAAGAAAGTGGGTCCAAGCACCGTCTTTCTTTTGCTGTCCATACACACCCCTGCTTCTGTTTTCCCCACAAAGGTTCGTGCCCCAGTAAATCTGTCCGTCTCTTCAGCTGTGCAGGGGGCCTCATTATTTTTTCATAACACTGACGTGAGGGAAATCCCCTGGGTCGCCCCGAGAGTCCAGGGCAAGGGCGGAATGGAAAGGGGCCTGAGGAGTCACATGCCCCCTACACTGTGGAGAGGAGAGGAGGGGCTGTCCGGAAGCCACGGGGGGCACTGCATGGCGGGCCGTGGGGTCAGTGGGGGGCTGCCCCCCCGCATTAACCAGCTGTGGTGGGGGAAGAGGAGGATGTGGCCGGGGGAGCGGACTGAGCGGGGGTCACTTGCTCTGTGCACTGGGAGCAGTGCAATGGGAGGGGGGCAGACCCCCCCCCCGCTGGTCTGGTCTCCCCAGCACAGCTGTTCCCCGGGCCAGGCTCAGCTGGGGAAAGAGGCAGGGCAGGGGCGGAGCAGGGAGAGGGAGGAGCGAGGGCAGAGGGGAAGAGGAGGATGTGGCCGGGGGAGCGGACTGAGCGGGGGTCACTTGCTCTGTGCACTGGGAGCAGTGCAATGGGAGGGGGGCAGACCCCCCCCCCGCTGGTCTGGTCTCCCCAGCACAGCTGTTCCCCGGGCCAGGCTCAGCTGGGGAAAGAGGCAGGGCAGGGGCGGAGCAGGGAGAGGGAGGAGCGAGGGCAGAGAGGTGCAGGCAGAGTAGGGGCTTGGCATAGAGGGGGGGTGTCCCACTTGGGGGGCTGTCACATGACCTGTGGTCTCTCAGCCCCCCCCGCACCAGCCACCTCTGCAGGCCCCCTAGTCCCACTCGGGAGCGATGGGAACAGGGGAAATATTAAGTCTCGGGACTGGCTCAGTAAATCTCTCTGCTCTGCCACGGCCCCTCCCTGCCGGGGAGCGAGCTGCCCCTTGGGCTGGGCCGAGACCTCAGGGCTGCTCCCCACTCAGAGCCGGGCGCCCCTGGAGGCAGGAGAGTCCCTGAGTCATGGCCCAGCTGGGGCAGATTCTGTCCCTGACGCCATCGACCCCCCAGGGCCGAGCTCTGCCCCTCACGCTCTGATTCTCCCCCAGCCAACGTGACTCTGGATCCAGACACGGCGCATCCCGAACTCGTCCTGTCGGGGGATGGGAAACGTGTGAGATGGGAACGGACACGGCAGCGACTGCCCGACAACCCGGAGAGATTTGACTCTGAGAAATGTGTGCTGGGTCATGAAGGATTCACCTTGGGGAGACATTGCTGGAAGGTGGAGGTGGGGGATGGGCGATACTGGGCTGTGGGGGTGGCCAGAGAGTCTGTGAGCAGGAAGGGAGGGATCAGGCTGTGGGGTGGTGGTGGGGTCAGTTCCGGGCTCTCACTGACCCTGCAACCCCCCTGCCCCTGAGCCCCCCCAGCAGGATCCGGGTTTGTCTGGACTGTGACCGGGGGCAGGTGACATTTATCGATGCTGGAACCGAGGCCCCGATCTTCACTTTCCCGCCGGGCTCCCTCCCCGGGAAGAGAATCCGACCCTGGATCTGGGTGTGGGACACAGACACCCTGCTCCGACTGTCTCCATGACAACAGCCCCTCTGCCCTCACACCCCCCAGACTCTGTGACCCTGGAGGACTCCCCTGTACTCCGCCCGG